CCCCCCGCCCCCGATCCCTCCCTCGCCCGGCACCCGCACAGGTACCTGTCTTCCCTCCGGCTGGCTTGCACCAGCCTTAGGGTACAAACCTCCATTCTCCCTCGGCGGCTGCTCTCGCTCCTGTGCCTTCGCTCGGACCTTCTCCTTTATTTTACCTGGGCAGCTCCTTAGCTTTTCTTTCCCGTTGTCACCAATGACAGCGTTGTCTCCGCAGTAGCTCTTCCTGCTTTCCTCCTGTTGGAGTCCTACTTCTTGCTTTTCCCCTCAGGGTGACTTTGGCACAGCTGTGATGGAAGGTTTGGGGCTGTTCAGTTACAGCTAACGTTCAGGCCTGCTGATTCTTCCAATACCTCAAATGCACCTACTTTCTTTGATTTAGTATATTCTTTGGTTGAGGGTGTCATAATCTAGCCTGAAATCTTCCTGGGAGAGAATGCTTTCCTCAAGAGCTTCAGCAGCAGCCCCAGATGGGTTTGATACATCTTTTGTTTTATTGATATGAAGATGGGTATGTCTGTACTTTGTATCCCGAAAGGTGGGGCTCGGGGAGCTCTTTCATTGCTACAGTTGTCCTAAATAGCCAATCGGTTTCTGGAAAATACTAAGAAATGTAAAAGAAGGATTAGGATTGAGAAAGAAAATGATGCTCAGTGAGTAATATTAATGTGTGAGTTACCTATGGCATCTGGGGTTTATTGTGACTGCATACTTCTCATGGAATTGGAGGTGGTTTCAAAGTTACAGCTCTTAAAACTGCTTCTGCATTTTCCTCTGACATAAAAAGGGTTCATAAAGTAATACTTTTTCTTCTGAAAAACTGAGGCTAAACCAAGAAAACAATGCTTTGGGGTTCTATTTGTGTAAGGAACAAAGGTTCAGGGGCTTTGCTTGCAGAGGCAAACCGCTGGAGCTGTCTATACTTCACTGTCTGCGAGAATCAGCCCAGAGAGGGGATGTTTCCTGTTACTCCTGGTCTGCATTTTGTAATTTAAGAGGTTTTCATCTGTGGTACTGCAAGGAATAGTTTCACCTTTGTAAAGCTTTAGTGTGTATTATCTCGAGTGGCTGCAGAGTGCTTTGATGTCACAAGTGAAAATACGACTGGTGTTGGGTAGCAGAGAAAGGTTTGGTTAGAGATCAGTAGCCCTAGAGGGATACTCTGTCAGTATGTGATGATGGTATCTCCAAAACTAATCGTTGTAGGTATGAGTTTACATGAAGGTGATTTCAAGATTGTTAATCTAGGTGCAGAAAGGAGAAAGTATAATCGTTTTGCACCAAATGGAATGATGTTTAATCTTGTTAAACTGCTTTTGGCTTTTGCATTTGGAAGCATAATTTTTTTTTCCTTTAATGGTTTTTGACTCAGAATTACAGCCAGCACAGAACTCAGGAAATTCTTACCTTATTGTTCCAGGCTTCTAATCTGATGAAATGTGGTGGTCGCGTTCCACTTCTGTGTGGTATTTTAGCACAGCTTTGTAACGGCAAAAGAACTGTCAAATGAACTATAACAATGCAACGTGTTTGAAAATCTTTTCTTTATAGTTGAAAACTTAAGTTAGTAGTCCCAGCCATTCATATATATTGAATTTATAATCTACTGGTGTACTGTTGTAAACAACACTGAAGACTAAATGGTTATTCACATGGACTCCAGGTGCAAGAGAGCTTAGTGCCCGTCAAGCGCACAGAGGCGGCTGTGCCTGTTTGGCTGTGGGACACACGTGTCACTGGAGAATTCCAGCCGTTCCTGGTGGGGACCCTGTGTTGCCTGGTACCAGCACTCTCAGCAGCAGTGCCACCATGTATGTGGACCCCTTCCTCTTTTTGAAACTCCCCACGACTTTTCACTTAGCTGAAGACTCTGTTCTTGAACTAGTTTGCTGTGCAGTGGGTGAGTGAGGAGATAAACTGTTTAACCACAAGACCAAATTTTAGTTACAAGTAAATTGTATGGCTTGGGTCATATGAAATAGTACTGTAAGGAGCATATCTTGCTATTATAATCCTAAGATATATTCCTGAAGTTGGTTGAGAACCTGTGGATAAGAGACAAAAAAAAAAAGAGGGGGGAGGGGAAGAAAACTCTGTTACCTGTGAGTTTAAATCCCATTTTCTTAACTCCTAAGCCACTTAATGCAAACACTTACAGTCACTGTGTTTGAAGCTTATTTTTTGTAAGAGCTTGCTGTTGAACTTTCGACAAGCTTACTGCTTACTGCTCTCTCTTTGACTGGCTCCACAAAGTTTTGATATGTTTGTGTTACTTAGCTTCATGATGCAGTAGAAATAGTAGGGCAAATCCAGATGTGCTGAGGATGTAGCAGCAGTATTAATTACACAGGGTCGGCAAGACCTGGGTACATACTATCATGTACAAATGCTTTCAAGTAAGAAGTGCTGCTCTTGAATGACCATATATTAGTATTAGCCACAGAGGACATACTCATTTCATGGGAAATAACAAATAACGTAATTGGCTGATCAGGATGCTGTGTGGGTGAATTGCATGTACTGGAAAACAGTGTAGAGATCTGCCATCTAATCAGTTCTTAGGTCTCCAGCCAGGTTAATTCCATTACTGGGAAAGGATTTTTTTTTTTTTTTTTTACCTTTGATTGAAAAATGGAAGTAATTTTCAAGGCTGAGCAGAACTAATAAATTGTGTTTTGATCATGAATTTATGCCCATATCGTTCTTTATACTGATAATAAAATAGAGAAAAACTAAGATAGCAGTGTGTAACTGCTGTTAATTAAAACTGTGTATTTGGAGGGTAGGCCCTTCTTTGTCTGCTATAACAAATGCAGAGGAGCTGCTCATCTTCTCGTTAGGCCTGGGTTTCCACATGTGTTTGAATTTATGCTGTCCAACATGAGTCACTGACATGTAAGTTTAAGTGATACTTCCATGAAAGGTTTCCCTGTGCTGCTTGTTTGTGATGCTTTCTTTGTCAAGGCTGTGAAGCACGCGTTTCTCCAGTAGATGGAGTGTGATCTACATGGAGTCACGGCGGTTACCTGGCTTCCTGCCCCTCTGACCCTCTTAATTTAGAGGGTCAGCACTGATACCGTCCTTATTTCCTGCTGGAGTATTTCTGTCTTCAAAGATTTGTATCTAATTCCTCTAATATTTAGGCAACGCTTTTATTCAAGGCAGGAGCCCACTTAAAATTTCAAGTTGATGCTAAATTATTTGGCATCCCTGTTGTGTTTGTCTTGAGTTGTGGAGGTGGAACACAAGTGTATTTGACGACTAACAAACTGCTTTATCTTATAAGCTCATTTGTGTAAAATAAAGATTCATGATTTTGTGTCACAAACACGATCTTAAACAATAGCTTTTGCTTCAAATTTAAGACTTGACTTGGGATGAATTATCTATCCGTACCCCAGTGTGTGGCCTTGAAATTAAAATTACTTCTGTTCCTTTGGCGTGTTGAATATAGGCCACTGCTGAAGGCAGATCATATGTTCATGCAAATTTTGTAGGTAATTTTAGAACAATATGTACAGCTACCAGTAGTCGGGGAAAAAATATGTTATTCAGAATTATTTTAAACTCTATTTCTGTCTTCTTCGCTCTTCTGTCGTACTCAGCAGTGAGGAAGATGATGACTTTCAATATATGGATCATGACTATGAAGTACCACAGCAAAAAGTTTTTAAGAAGATATGTAACAAGCTGAAATGGACACGTGATGAGGTAATCCTCTTTTTGGCTGTAGTTTCATTCCTATACCATACTGGTAGCACTTGAGATGTGTTGTTATTAGTATCACATTGGGATAGCATGGAATGTTCATTGGCTGAGGTTATGTCTTAACAGGATGAAAGACTAAAGAAGCTGGTGGAACAAAATGGTACAGATGATTGGACTTTCATTGCTAGTCATCTACAAGTAAGTTGAATCTCTGTTTCAGTTCAGTTCCCTTTTAATTTTTATTTACTTTTGTCATATGTTTGTGTTGGAAATGAGGTGAAATACAAGTGAGAAACACATAGTAGTAAAAAAGTATTTTGAAGTATGTTTGTAAATTGGACTTGCGATCTATCTCAGACTTTAGAGAACCTTATCAACTCAGGTCTGAAATGATCAAAAATAATTGATGCCTTCTGTCCACACTTGTTATTTGTTTTCATTCTGGAATATATTCCTGCTTCCTATTGGTTGCATCACTTGCAGCGGTTACATCTGCAGTCCACAGGTTGTGTCTGAAGCACTTAGGAGAGTGGGTTGTGTTTGAAAGATTGCTTGAAAGAAGCAGGATATGTTTCTTAAACACCTTAGGAAAAGGGGGGATGGGGTGGTGGTGGGTTTTGTGTTTTGGCATTTGTTGGTATTTTTTTGTTTGTTTTTGGTTTTTCTACAGTGATGTCTGCTTCTCTAGCATATGCAAATCTTTCCACCCTGTGATCTATTCAGTTACTACAAATGGAACCTTAGTGGGTTTCTCGGGAGTTTCCTAAGGACACTTCACATTTCTTGTTCTGTTCCAATGGTCAGGTGGAATGAGTGAGAGAGCTGTTGTTTCAAGCGTTAAATGACTTCTCAGCTGTATGAGCTGCACTGGTAGAAACCACCTACAATTAGCATCGATGACGTCTGTTTCTTTTCTGAATAAATGTTATAAAATACCTACTATAAAAACATGGCTAGAATCTAAGGCTGAAATCACTACCTAGAAGTGGTATTGGATAGCTAACATTAGAAATAAAAGAATTACACCCCCCATCTTTGCAATTCTTATAATATTTAGTGGGATGATACAGTTGTAGGAAATTCCTGTGTAACTAGTTAAACATAGACTTCAATTCTAAATACAGAATAACTGTAACTTTTCATTGTTCTCATCCTATTTGTGCAACTGTGGTGCTTGTGAATTTTTTTTTTTTTTTTTCCAGGTGGCAGACTATAGATAGCTGGCAATGAACTTGAGGCTTCTAAATTTAAGGAGTGCATAAACAGATCACTCTTCCTTACATGTACAATATCCACTTCCAAAAAGCAGTGAATGGCAAAGGAGAAATATAAAATTTTTTAAAATAATATTTCTAAAACTGTTTAAAAATACAGTGTTTAGTGACACTGATCTGCAGGTGTAGCATTGAGGTGCATTTAACAGATCCAGCCATTGAATTTAAGAAAAAGTAAAACAAATGCTTTTGGGGACGGATAGCTCTTGTTCAGCTGGGCCCAAGTAGGGTTGAAAAAAGGCTCCCCAGCTACCGTGGGAAACAGGCAGGGGGGATCAAGCTGCCCATTGCAGAGTCGGTGATGCTAGAAGGAACCTCTCAAGGTCATCTAGTCCGAGCCCCTGATCAAGAAAAGTCAGCTGGAGCAGACTGCCCAGGACAGTGTCCAGTTGGGTTTCCAGTATCTCCATGGATGGAGACACCACAGCCTCACTGAGCTGTTGCAATGTTTAAATTACAAAGCCAAATAATAGAGGCTGGCATACCTTGTTACTGATGACCTTTTGCTAGGAAAACCAAGTGTATCTTGAGTTACTTAGCATATGAAGCCACTCAAGCTGCCATGTTTTCAGAACCCCGTTTCACTGTTGGGCTGGGCACAAGTAAACCTTCCCTGTATTCTGCCCCAAAAGGTGAAGAGGGCTTAAAGGTGATCCTCAAGAGAGGGAATGCAGCTTATATCCTCTTTCAGTTTATTGTGGCGAAGGCAGACCTGAAATGATTTTATTGTTTCATCCCATCACCTGTTTTGCTCCTCTACCCCCAAACATGTCATGATTTCAGAAATGTCTGGAAGGTAAAAACACTAAAAGGTCACAACTTCTTCAAAATTTTTTTTTAGTGACAATGGGAGCAGCTATCTTGTATTGAGTCTTCCACAGCTTGTTTCCACCAGGAAATGACGATGTTTTTTACAAACTCTAGTGTGCTTTTAATCATACAATGTCTGCCTGGTGATTAGCTTGAAAGTACTGTGATCAATGTGATTTTAGACTTAACAGTGTTTTGGGGGTGTGTTCTGGTCTTGCAGACTGCTGCTTGTTTAACATCATCTTAGTACGGCAATGCCTTTACTTGATAGACATCCCAGCAAAACCTTGACGTCGGTGGTTGCTATCCAGCAGCCTGCGCTGAAGAGAGTAAATCATCGTGTCCCAGTGTTTTATAAAAGGCGTCCTAGTATGCTGTACTGGGGCAGGCTCTTACCTGAATATTTCTAAGGACTGGACCAACCCTGAGAGTCCCAAATTTTCCATTTTTTCCAGGAGGCTAAGTGAAAGCTTACTTCTTTCATAACTGGGAACAATATTTCAAAAGATCCTTAGTGAAGCTACAGAAAAGCACCATCTGTCCTGAGCAGAAAAAGCAATGTTGTTTAATTAGTATGTGTTAGTTAAACTTGATATAAATCTGTTTTCCTTAACACTCCCATAATGAGCTGAGAATATATTCATTTGAGATGTAGAAGAAAGCTTTGTCTTTTGAAAGAAAAAGTATTTCCTTTAAAAATTTCTTTCCTTACGTAGGTTATAGATAATGCCAAAAGCAGTGTTAGTCACAAAGTTCAGAGGAGGTGTGGAGTAATGAGGACAAAAATAATTCTAAGTTTTTATTTAAAGAAGAATAAGTCTTGAATTTGGTTATCAAGTAAGAACATTGAAGTAATTTGTGCAAGGCTGTGTTTTCTGGAGAAGAGTTTTTATAAGCAAATGGAAGAAGAAATAACAAGGGAGAATTTAACGGTTCTTTAGACCTGTGTTCTAAGTACAAGTCTTTTAATTTGAAGTAAGCTAACAATTCTGGCTAGCTAATAGTTGTGGTTTTATGTATTCGAGAGTTTAACAGCTACACCGGTCTCCTAAAACTATTTCAGAATCGTTCCGACTTTCAGTGCCAGCATCGATGGCAGAAGGTACTAAACCCAGAACTGATTAAAGGTCCCTGGACTAAAGAAGAAGATCAGAGGGTAATAATAAAACCTAATTGATACTGTACTCTTACTGTAATAAAACTGGCTTGTGACTGTTGAGGATGTGTACTTTTTCTTAGGTTTCATCCCCACAAAGGTGATATCTGATGCATCTTGTGACATAGCTAATTACATTACGTTATGCTGAGTGAGAAGGAAAAAAATGCAGCTGCTCTTAAGTAGATGGAATATCTGGTCTGCTTAGGCTTTTCATTCCCCTTTGCTCAGGGTGCTGACTGAACTACTCCAGCTTAGCAAGTAGAGGAGATCTCATTACAGCACTAAAGATCCAAAGTCTCATTTACATCTTTTACTTCTCAAACCCACAAGACTTAAAGGGGTTGAAAATAAGGGAAATTATCTCATACTCTACAGTTAGAGAAGTTAGCACTGATGTCTGAGACTCCTTTTCCCCCACCTCTGTTAATCCATATCACACCTTTTTGTCTGCAAAACCTGGAAATTGGGAATAATCAGTCAATTTGAAACACCCGCTGTTTAAATCTGTTTTAAGATTTTTAATACTAGTATTTGTCAACTTACAAATATGGTCTTCCTAATCTATTTTTTTTAATTGTTCTGATCAGTCGTTAAAGGAAAAGATTCTAATGTGTGAAAACATGTAGAAATGGGATGGAGGTTGGGAGTAGAGGTTTGGTTGGTTTTTTTTTTCTCATATGTATGTTATTGGAGAAAAAAATAAAGACAAACCAAGCAGCTTTACCAGCTGCTCTTTTGGTCTTTCCTCATGTCAGCTTATGCAACGGGTGACAGAAAGGAAACTTCCAAATGAGTGTTTTCATCAGTATACACATACTATAAACACAGTGAATTTGGAGTTAATAATAAATTTTTTTATGCATTGAAAAATAACTTTTAAACCCCTGAGTCACTGTCTGCCTCCTTAGGCCCAGTATCTTATCAAACTGGCTATTACAATGCTATTCCAAAATGTGAGTTGATCAGTGTTCTCAGTCTTTGATTAGGAAAATTAGGTTTTGGAATTATAATGTGCTTTCATCTGTGTTCCAGGTTATTGAATTAGTTCAGAAGTATGGTCCAAAGCGCTGGTCTCTAATTGCAAAACACCTGAAAGGAAGAATAGGCAAGCAGTGCAGAGAGAGATGGCATAACCATCTCAATCCTGAGGTAAAAAAGTCTTCATGGACAGAAGAAGAGGACAGAATAATCTATGAAGCTCACAAGCGTTTGGGAAACCGATGGGCTGAAATAGCAAAACTTCTTCCTGGAAGGTGCTTTTCAATTCTATTTGTGTTAAATATTTGAATATGGAAAGCGGTCCTTGCACTACTCTTTCCAATGTAATTTGTTAGTCAGAGGGCATCTGTTGAAACTGAAGTCACATCATCTTTATCTTGATAAATACTGAGGTTTTTTTTTTTTAAGATCTTTTGCATTTGATTATGTATTCTAAAAAAGCCATGAAACCAATAAAAAGACCTCCAACACTCTGCAGGTTCCTTCAAAAATCCTCCTCATCACTTAGAAAAAAACTATAGTAGAGCTCAAGAGAGTAACTGCAAGTAATAGTGGAAGAATGCCTTAACATCCTATGACTAGATGCCAAAGTGCCTTCATTAATATGCATTTGGGGATGACTTGCTTTTTTGTTTAAGATCACAATTTTTTTTTTTTTCTTAGAAAACTTCTTGTTAAATGTGACGTTTTGGGGGGAAAAAATCTTAGCAACCTTCAAAAGTCCAGGCTTTGGAGTCATGCACTGCCAGCCTGGTTGGTTACCATGTAGTCTCTAAGTTAAGAATGAACTGTATGCATTGTTCTCCTTTGTTTCAAGTGTGATTGCCGCCTTATATCCTTGTAGAAATCAAAATTTTAGTGTATAAAGAGTTTAATTAAATAAATCTTTTACCCTGTACTGTTAACGGAAATTCAGTGTTAAACGGTCCCTCTCTGAATTCAGTCTGTGTTCAGGAGGTGACTGTCTACCCATGCCTAGGGAATGTCAGCACTCGTTATGCTGGGAGAATGCATCCTTAGAGATGTGTTTTAAAAATTTGACACAGTATTAATTCCTTTGGAGGAATGGAAGGGGGATGGATTGCAATAAAATTATTGGGATTTCAGACCAAGAAGATATGTTTGTAAGGACAAAGGCATTCCTAGTTCACTAAGTTATTTTAGCTTGGGTTTGTTTTCAACAAAGATTGGATCCTCGACCTAGAAGATTTGTAGGGAGTCTAACACTAGTGGGATGAAAAAGGGAAATACTTCTTGGAGTCGAGCTTAGATGAATAATGGGGCTTAAAGCAATTTTTATTTCTGTGTACCTCTCTCTAAGGCTAGTAATAATATTGCTGGTATTTTAGACTGTAATGCAGTCATACTCTACTCCTGCCTCAGTGCTTGTCCAGTGCTAAAAGTGATGTCAGTCTGCTTGTCCAACTGTGGGCATTTTCTTTCCAAGGGGAGTGACAACGGGTACTGGTCTTCTGCCCTGCCTGTTTTTCCCCATACAAGGCCAAGGGCACCAAGAGGTAGTGGGATGTTCTTCCACAAAGCTGCACATAAAAATCAGAGCTGGGAATGCAGGCTGACTATTTTTTTGAGAGGGATATCTTTCGGTGGCAAATGCTAGCCACAGTGCCCTTATTGTGCTGTGGGACAGTAGGGTGATTGTCTTAGCTTCATGTTCTGCAAATTTGTAGCAGTGGGTAAGTGATGTAGTGACAGAGAACACATGATTATTCCTAGTATCCAAGAAAAAAAGGTTCTCACCCATGATAATAGCCAGAACCAAGGCTTTCTCTTTTTCTACTTTTATTTTCCTGCAGACTTGAAGTTTAGTAGGAGGAAGTTTTGAAAAGAGTAGCTTTCTAGTAACTATGCCAAAACCCCACTGAACTTTCAGTCCAAGCTGCTGGAGCTTTCTCGATTTGTGGCTTTGGATTAGACTCCTGTACAGACCCTGTAAATTATGCCACATATTAAACTTTCAGCTATGGAAACCCATCACTGTTGTACACTTCCATTTCAGGACTGATAATTCGATTAAAAATCACTGGAATTCAACAATGCGAAGAAAGGTGGAACAGGAAGGATATTTACAAGATGATATAAAGACTGAAAGAGATAGTTTGTCCGAACTTCAACCCCAACCTTGTCTGACTGTGGAACACTTGCACACTCAGAATCAGTTTTACATACCTGTTCAGACACATGTAAGTTCAGAATGATTAGTATTTCCCAGTTTCAAGTAACTTGGTGGGTTTGGACTGAGAAACAAAGAATTAAGCTCTGTTGGGTATTTTTGTAATATTATGGTAACTTAGGATTTGTAAACCATAACAAACAGTTGATGTGAAATAAAGATAATTTTATAGCCTCCTTTTCTGTAGAGTTTGTAAAATGATGTATGTCGTTTTAGATTCCAGCATACCAGTATGCCTCACCAGAAGGCAGCTATCTAGAGCATGCTTCAGCTTCTGCCAACTTAGTTCAGGTAAATTGTTAACGGGAATCGTAAATGAAGAGAAGCTACTGTGCATTATGCTGTAAAATTAAGAGTTTAAAAGCTTGTAACTTAAAGGCATTTTGAAGTCTTTATCATTCATCTGAATTTGTGAGTGGTGTTCTGTAAGTACACTTGCTAGCTTAATTGGTAGTTCTAGGTAGGAAAATATAGCTGTCTTTATACATCTCAGAAACACAACATTTGCGCTTATTTCTGACACAAGTGTGGCCTAAAACACAGTATATTAAATCTTTAGGTTAAAATTATGACCTGAAGTTTCTGAGATATTTAAAGACAAGATTTTACTACTTTATATATGTAATAAATGTAGTCCTATCTGAAAGACTCAGTTCAGATAACTTTGTGACTTATGCTTATGGCTGTGCTTTTTTTGTTCTCAATGTTTTAGGTTTTTCTGACTGGTAAACTTCTGTCAATCAGTTGAAGATGCTCTTTTCCAGCATTCTAAATGCTGAAGTACTGAGAAACTTTAAAGCAAACAAAAAAATTTTACATATTTATTTCCTTTTGCACCTTTGGGCTCATTTGGAATATATCTGAAATTCTTCATGCATTGCAGACTCAATGGAATTTGTAGTTTATAATATGATTTCCTGGAAAAATTTTTGTGAATTTGAAATAAGTAAGAGAAAAAAAAAAAATTGACACAGTGAGTCATACGTATTTTGTTTGTGTTAAGATGTGTTAGAGGCATTATGGAGAACTCTGTACCTAACCTTAAAGTTTCCCTGAGCAGGTCATGTTTCATGTTGCGTTTTCTTGCCTGATCTCAGCTTAAGAATACAAATCATACCAAAGCCTCATATGGCCTGTGACACACTGGATTGCCCTACACAGAGAAATATAAGATACTTGAAGTCTTCCTTAAACTAGGGAGTATAACTAGTTTGGCAACTCGTGGCATAAATCTTCACTTATGTATGTTTATAGCAATAATAGAAAGTTTTGAGGAAGTTAAAACCAAACCAACCAACCAACACCAATTAGTTATTTCTCTTTTCTGATAGTAGTGATAGGATCGCTTGTGTAGACACTGTCAGCAAATGCTGATTTGAAATGCTTCCTTGCACACTTATTGAGGATAAATAACTGAAAATTCTAGAAAGCATGTGAAAACACAAACACATCACCAAGGTGCCAACATTGCTTCTATTAAAGGTAGAATCGAGTGACTTCTAGTTAAAAAGCGCTATAGCCCACTGAGCATTTATAGGCCGTATTAGAAACCCGTTAAAATATTAGCTTGAATACCACTTTAACATCATATCCATCTCCTGGTAATTGCTGTAGTTGTTTTGCTTCTGAGTGACTACTGTATTAGAAAATGATACAGCTTGACCAGCTCTGTTCCTGCTGTGTGTGAATTTCTGTTAAAAATGTAACTGTGCTGTAATGTAGAACCTTTACTGTGGAGGTGGAAAATACTAACGGCTCCTTTCTTAAATTTTTCAGCAACCATTTATTGATGACGATCCTGATAAAGAAAAGAAAATAAAGGAACTTGAATTGCTCCTTATGTCAGCAGAGAATGAAATCATAAGGAAGAGAGTGTCTTCTGTAAGGACTGTAAATTTCTGTCAATATTTGACTATGCTTTACTAAGTTTAATTCTCAGCAATTTATTAATGGATGTTTGGTTTTGTATGGTGATTCTTCAACTAACCTTCTAAAATCATGGCTGTTGGGTTCTAAAACAAAGACTATATATTAGTATTGAGGCAAGTTATTTTTAATGTATTTCTGTGAAAATACCAGAAATATGACCTGGAATTTGGCAGTTATACCTAAAACCCAGGATTTTAATCCTCTTTAAGAGTTAACATGTTTGTTGATATCACCACCATTCCATTTTATAGATCAGCAATGTTGATCATCTGTTCAACAGGGAGGTGAGAAATACATAGGTTTTGCCCTATTTGATTTCAAAACATCCGGTAGATTATATTTTTATCAAGCTTTTTCTGGGTGAGTGCTTGCAATGCTGAATATCCACATTTCGACATGACAAACAGTGAGTAAGTGTGCACTGTGCAAAATTTACATGTACTTCAGTGGAATTAGGGAAACTTGCAGGTGACGGTCACTTATTTCCTCAGGAACAGAGGGCTGTGAACATGGAGTCATAGAATGGTTTGGGTTGGAAGGGACCTTAAAGACCATCTAGTTCCAACCCCCATGCCATGGGCAGGGACACCTTCTGCTAAACCAGGTTGCTCAAAGCCTCATCCAGCCTGGCCTTGAACACTTCCAGGGA